TTTTGCAGAGTTAAAAAAGAAGGTACGTTCTTTTTATTTTGCAAAGGAAAGGTAACTCTTAGTTGACCATCGACTTGACTCAGGAGAATTACTGCGTTTTGATAACTGGAGCTGTTACCACTCCAGAAGTTCTCTATTCAGGCGCCTTAACTTTGTTGTTGATAAAGGTCTACTGACTCTATAGGAGGAGTTGGTTATGTAATTCCATTATTATTAAATAATTCAATGCTAACGCTCAATCTCTCATGATAGGTCGAACATGAACAAAATGGTAATGGTTTTCAATCATACTGGAAGGTGGTCTTATTTGAATATAATAAAAAAAATTAATCTGTATCCACAGGTAAGGATAATTCATCATAATCTAATGAATTTATAACTTTTATACCTAGATTGTTATTAATGTTCAATAACTGTTAGAGCGCAGAAAAGGATGATCACGGGAAAAAATCACGCTGAAGAAACGGCGAAGGAAATAGATGTTAGGTAATGTCATCACGCGAAAAGAACGTTTAATCGTCTATTTGTTGATCCGGCGGAACGGATTGTTCAACTCCTTGAATTAATTCGTTGTGAGAATTCGTAATATTACAGGGGCCACGATCCTCTGGTCTACACGAGTACTCGAAATTCATAACCAGTTGCAAACGAAGATTTATTTATATATTGTGTCTCGCGATCGCGTTCCATGAAATATAACTGTTTTTATTGTTACTCATCCCTTTGCAATAGTGGATTTTTTGAGCAAACCAATATGGAAATCGTGGGTGGATTCTGGCAGACCTTTGACGCTCTTTCTAACTTGATGCTCCCGAATGCAACGAACTTGATAATTGGCATTGCATTTTAGAAAACAAGTGGAATTATCAGTTGGTTCTCCTTATCGAGAATTCGATAGATTTGAATAAAGATGTAAAATTTTCATAGATTTGATCAAGCATTTCCAATGCTAAAAAAATTGAAAATTAGTTTCTTGATAAAATTATATAAAAACAAAATAAAATAAATAAAAAAATATTGATTATAAAAAAAGGGCCAAAATAAATACTTTTTTTTTTTTAGATATATTGGATTGATTTAATTGAATATCTAAATAATAAAATTTTACTTAAATATAATTACTAATTTTATTATAAAACTTCTTAAAGTTATTTATAAACTAAAACTTATAATAGATTTATATCATAATATAGCTGTAATTTTTAATATGTATTACTTATCTAATAATTATTTCATTAACTATTTTATTGATATTTATTTCACTAATAAAATCATTTTATTAATAATTAATAACTAATAAAAATCTCATTGATAAGATTATTTCACTACAAATTTATTATTAATAAAATTATTATATGAATGTTTTACAACAGAAATTACCAAAAATTTTTTTTCATTTTTTTTGATATTTTCCTTCCTTTCTACTACAAAGTATTCATATTAAATCATAAAATTATAATAATAATATATATAAAGGAATAATATAATATTTAATTTTATATCTTGTTATTATAACTGAAAATTTTCAACATGAATATATTTAGAAAAAAATAAATATTATCAATAATTATTGAATTAAAGATTTTATATTTTATCAACTTGACGATGCATCTTCTCATTATATTATTAGTCTACATTATGAAATTTCAGGTAAATTATAAAATTATAAAAATGATTTATATGATAGATATAGTATGACAAATAAGTTTTTTGTAAATGAAAAATTATAAGTTTATGAAATATATAAAATTAAAAGACAAGAAAGTGTAACATAAGTGACAAATATATTCACATGATAAAATGATGCATTGTCAAAATGATAAATTACATTTTTATTAAATTATATCTTTATTTTAAATCTTATTATTCAGTAAATTTAATATATAAAGTATTATTTAAACTTACATTTTGTAATCTTATATAAGGTATCAAGACTATTAAAATAATTATATATGTGTAGTATTTAATATTTTTATGATGTATAATAATTCAAAAATTTACAATATATAATATTTAAAAGTTTATAATATAAAATATTTTAAAATATGAGGGCTATGCTATTAAAATTACCTTATGGATCTCACAAACCAAAATTAAAATTTTTGATTAATATTATTATATGATATATGAATTTTATTTGGTTAAATTTTTATAGTTGATTATCTTATTAACAAAGCAAGCAATTAGGCTGTCAAAATCTCTTTTTTGTGTAACATTAGTCAAAAATCTAAAATTAGAATCAGGAAATGATCAACATTATTTAAAAAAAGTGAGAAAAGTTTCAGATTCTTATAAAATTCAAAATTTTTTAACTTTACTATTATTAATAGTTTGAATATATAATTGAATAGGTATCTAAGAGGGTATTTAATACCCAAGCAAACATTTTTTTTTAAAATAAATAATAAATATAATTTCTTTTAAAATTGAATTTTTTAATAAATTAGTGTAATAATGTCTCATAGGGTGATTTTAATAGTAAATTCTTAAGTGTTACAAAATTGAATTCAAGTTTTACAAAAATTAGTCTTGTAAAATAATTTAATAATAAAATTTATATATTTTATAAT